GGGCCCCGGTGCAGCGCCCGCCGTCCCCTCAGCCTGCTGGTGGGCAACCTGGGTCTGGCTGACCTGCTGTACGTCAGCACGCTGCCCTTCCTCGTCAGCTACTACCTGCGGGACAGAGCCTGGCTCTTCGGGCAGGGCTGGTGCCGCGTCACCCGGGGCCTCTTCCACCTCAACCTCTACGCCAGCATTTGCTTCCTCACCTGCATCAGCGTCCACCGCTACCTGGGCATTGTGCACCCGCTGAAGGCACGGGGCAGGTGCCATGGCGCAACGTCTTCGGCATGGCTCAGCGCGACGGTCTGGGCGTGGGTCATTGCACAGGTAGCTCCCGATTTTGCCTTCAGCAAGATGGACAACACGGGGACGCGGTGCCATGACACGACGGGCCATGAGAACCTTGGCGTTTACTTGCCATACACCACAGCTGTCACCGTGACAGGGTTCATCATCCCGTTCCTCATCATCATCGGATGTTACTGCCACGTGGTGGTGGTGCTCTGCAGGAATGACACCATGGACCTCAGGCTCAGGAGAAGAAGCATCAGACTGGTGATTCTGGTGATGGTCCTCTTCTCCATCTGCTTCCTCCCCTACCACATCTTCAGAAACCTCAACTTGTTGTCTCGAGGCTGGCAGCTGCATGGGTCCTGCACACAAGCTTCAAAGAACATCTACGTGTCCTACCAGGTGACCAGGGGCCTGGCCAGCTTCAACAGCGCCCTCAACCCCCTGCTCTACGTGATGACCAGCAAAGACTGTATGTCACATATGAGGGCCATCCACCAAAGAGCCAGCCAGTCCCTGGGGTCCACCTTTGGGAGAAAAACCTCCTGCCAGGCGGATGAGAGGAAGATGAGCATCATTCTTTGTGAGGAGGAAGCTTCTGATGAGCTCTAAGGTACCCAGCACCCCTCCAAAGGACGCTGAACTTCTGCTTGTGCTTGGCCCCTTCTCGGGAGCAGCCCCCCCCCTAGATGCCTCTTTTGCAGAGGGATGGTGACTGCAGCCTCCCTGGCTCCAATCTCGCACAAGGGACAGACAGGACTGTCAGCATCAGAGAGCAAACTGGGACCAGGTTTTAGAGCAAAACTACTCAACTCAACCATTTTTCCCACAGCACGCCTGGAGACGGAAAGAGATGAACATTGCGTTTCCTCCAGCCCTGAAGCGTTCCTCAGTCCGGCCCCTGATGCAGCAGCCCGAGCCAGTTAACATCCCCTGGCTCCCTGGCCGCTCATCGAGCTCCTCAGCGAGTGAGGGATGGGGGTGAACGACGCCTTGACCCCCACTGCATCCCCTCTCCCGCAATGGACGTGGGTTTGAGACAGGATTCCCTCCTTCATCCAAGGAGAGGGCACCAGAATAACTCCCTGCATCGCAGGACAGCTGAGAGGGTGAATTTTTGCAGGGGGAAGTGCTTTGGATATGGAAATATTCATAAAAATATCAGGTTTTAAATATATGACTAAGCTGTGCCAGTTCCCGGGTTAGTTGTTCCTGGGTGACTGAGCTGCTTCAGGATCTGTGTTATCCTCTCCTGCCCACCTCCTTCACAGAAGAAAAAAGTATTTGAGCATTACTCACTCTTTTTTGGAAGCGCATATAGCAGACAGCAAATTGGCACTTTCCAGTTTCTGGAGGCTGTTGGGTTTGGATTTTTGCAAGGCGAATGACTGCAGCAGCCTGAACCGCCGCTTTCAGCGGGCACATCCCAGGAGAGCTCCGAATTCTGCAGGTGGGTGGCTGCATCTTACTCTTGCATCCAGCCTTGTGAGGGGATTAGGCATGTCAACTAAAAATTAGAGATGATAAAAAAAGAGAGGCAACGCTGGTGTGAAGGCTCGTGAAGGCAAGATTCGATGGTGAGCGCAGTCCGTGTGTCATCGCTGGCGGGGGGATCTCTGCTTCGGGGGAGCAGAGGCTCCCGAGAGGCGTTTTGGATTTTGATCTTGGCGTTCCCCACCATGAACAGCTTGAATGCTTCGGTCCTGTGAAAGGAGCAACGTGATTTGCAGCAGCGGATCTCGCAGCTCAGCTACAGGCTGTGGATAGCGAGTTAAATTCAGCCAGCCCTGGGAAAGCGCCGACCCACGGATGCTGCGCTCTTTGGACCGAAGCCCGATGTTTAGCATGGTCCTCGCACAGCCCCACCTTTGCTGCTGCACGGAGGGACCTGCTGCTGGCTTTCAGACGGAGCTAATATGTCTGAAGTGCAAATAAACACCTTGCGCTTTCAGTCCTGAGTCGCCTGGCTTCTTTTAAGGCTTTACAGGAACACGGGAGCCAGGCGGCCTGCGGGCTGGGGCAGAGGCCCGCCGGCTGCGGGAAGCAGTGACGAGTTTCCCAGGGCTCTGCAGACGAGGAGCTGTGCGGTGAGACTGCGGGCAGCAGGCACAGAGCAGTGCTGGGTGAGGCATGCTCTAAGGTAGGTCCCCAGGATCTGCTCAGCACCTGGCAGGGGCCAGCAAAGCCCCAAAACTGTCAGCTCCCACCTCATCCAGGGGAAACCAAAAGACAAAGCTCAGATTCCCAAATGAGATGTTCTTCTGTCTCTGCAGTAGGGAAGATCTTCGGGACATTAGGAGCAGGCCTGGCTCGGCTTCCCCAGAGCTCTGAGCTCTTCTCCTCCTTTCCTGAAAAAAATACCGACACCTCCAAAAGCTGTCCAGCTCTTCCATCTTCACACATGGACCCCATCCAAGGTGTGACAGCTCCCCACAGAACTGGCCTCGGCCCCCCACAGCTGATGGGAGCTGCAGCAGCCCATCACTGCACCCATCTGGCTCACGAGTGACTGAAATAAAGCATCACTGCATCCCGGCGAGGGAGCGCTGCGTGAGAAGTGCCAGCAAACTCTGCTCTCACCCCCTGCATCTCCATGCCCAACTCTGTCTTCTCCAGTGCCCCCTCGTGTCATTGTTAAGGAGGATCTAAAGATCTGTATCCCAAGAAGCATCTCTGAGCCCCAGCGACAGTTGCAGCCGTAAATCTGCTAATTTTCTGTGTCCTGCATCCGTCAAATCAGCAAAAGCCATTAAGGAGCTGTGTATTGGGATGATGGCCCTGAGACACGGTAAGTTTTTTGGTGTCTCCTGCTTTGCAGTCCCCTGGATTCTCAGATATTGTTGCTTCCCCTAGTGAAGAAACAAGCTCCTTCCCTTTATTAGGTATATGTGCAATTAAGGGCCAACCGCTGGCACATGAGCCTGCTGCCCAGCTTTCAGAGCTGGTGATGGAGCAGCAAAGCAGCCCTCCTTCCTCCAGCCCTCGCTGTCACAGGAGGCTCCTTCCCTCACACAGAGCAGCCGCTGCGCTCCGTGGGACACTGCAGGTGTGCAGTCACCGCTGGGGACCCAATGAAAACAGGTGGGCTCTGCTGACCCCTCCAAACCTCCCCACTGCTCTTTATCCCCTGGGAGCAGGGCGGTGGGATTGTCCCCAGAGCAACCAGCACGGGCAGCTCTTGTTCTGTGCCAGTCCCCACTTGCAGCATGGGGAGGGGAGGAGGTAGCGTGCGTTTCAGAGCGGGCAAGGGGACAGGGAAAGTGGGGAGCTGCCATATTCCGCCTTCCCCTTCTCCCAGCAGCTCTGCCAGCTGTTGGCAGGGCCGTGCACAAGCATTTGCTGCTGGCAGGAGGGGGTCAGTGCCCACGGGAGCTGCTGTGCCGTGGTTGCATCCTGAACCAGGCGTCAGCCTCGGCTCCTGGCTGGCACAGGCGCAGGGAGCAGACCTGAGCAGAAGACCTGCGGCAGCGCCCGGGTCGGCACCCACCCGCTCAGGGACTGCCTTTGAGCAGGGTCCTTTCCCCTCTGCTGCAGAGACCTTCCAGCGCTGTCAGGTTCCTTTACACGAGCTGCAGATCCTCATGGGGTGAAATGGCTCTGCGGGAAGAAGTAAATTAATTTCACCTCTTTTGGGGTTCTGGCTTACGAGGATCTGAATGGCCTCTCTCCCTCCCTTGGCTATCTGTTGCTGGACCTGAAGACGCCTAAGGCCAGGCGAGAGGAATCCCACCTGTACCATCTGCTTTTCCCGCAGCCTCTCTGGCACAGCACAGTGGAGCAATGAACTCGTCTGCGAATATGACCCGAGAACAGATTTTTAACTCCCTTGCCCAGATTAGACACAACCAACAAACCAAACATGGTGGGAACTCTCCCGCTGACATTAATGGGATTGGGATCAAGCCTGGAAATTTGGCAGCGTTTCTTGTCTCGTTAAACAAAACCCTCTTGGTTGAGGATTTGTTGCAAACACAGTCAAGATTCGTTACATTAAAGAGAGCTTTTGAGCTGACAGCCTCGGGAAGCTGTTCAGGCAGAATTAAGAGGCACATGTG